GAGAAGTGGGTTAATAAGAGGGTTTAAAAGTACCCTGAGAGTATCTCCTTCATTCTCATTTACCCAAAGCCTGCAACTTCAATCCTAGGGTTAAAAATCTTACATCACCACCACTTACATTGAGCAAATTTTGTGTGCTGCAATATCACACTTTTAGCTCATGTCCCACAGCTGATATTTAAATAATTTTAATGAGCATTTTGCTGGATAGTCCCTGCCTGCTTTGCTTTGCTCATTGCTGTACACAGATGATGGATCTCTGATTCAGCAAACTGGAGCTTCACAATGGGGTGTTGAAACACAGCATCAGAAAATCTCAGCTGGAGTTTGTATCATCTATATCCCTGAAAAAAAGCCCAGGTAGAACATTCCAAAATTGATTGGCTCCTCTCTCCCTGATATAACACAAAGAATGTGTTTGAATGTGTTTTTTTGTTGTTGTCGTTTTGTTTGTTTGGTTTTTTTTTTTTTTTTTGGTTTGTTTTTTAATGGCATTGATACTTTAATACATAATTTTTATGTGGGGTTTGGGTTTGGTTTGGAGTTTTTTGTTTGAATTTTTTTTTTTTTTTGTCATGGTGTATGTAGATCTAACACCCACTTCAACATGAAAATAAAGACAAAAATAAAAAATACAAATCATCTTTCAGCTTCATGAGGACCCAAAGCCTGGTAAATCCACTGTTGTAACAGGTCAAAAAGTTTTAGGCTATTTCATCATTCCAGAGGAACAGAAGAAGGTTGGATGAATATTTGGAATCTCTGGCATGAGGATGCAATTCCAAAGGTCCTAATAAATCAGTGGAAGTGGAATGAGTAATTCCTGAGAAGAGCTACCCATTAAATCACTGTGCTCAGAGCTGCATGTTATAAGTCCCTGTGGATTCAGCCCATGCAGGATAATAAAATAAACACTGTAATTAATCCCTATTGAAGCTGGGTTTATTTCCTTCTTCAGGCCTCCACTTTTGGACACTGGGATTATGCTGTGATTTGTTGTGGTCTGGTTTGCCCTCTCCTGCCTCTTTGTTGTTCTGGATACCCCACAGACCAGGAATTAAAGCTGACACCGATCCAACAGGTTGTAAACAGGTAGGAAAGCCCATGTAAGCAAACCCCAGCCCTTCAATGACTGGGATCCAACTGGTGTGCACAATTCTGCTCCCAAAAGTGGAATTATGAGTCAGAGTGAAAATGAAGGTCACACAGATCGCTGTGTGCAGCAATTCTTGCAGGGAACATGGGCTTTATTTACATAATTAGCTTGTTCTTGCTCAATAATCTCATCATGGGGCTGGATTCTGGATGTTCTTGCTGGACTTTTCAGGTGTTATATGCTATTAAAACCCCCAAAAAGCAAGGGATAGTAATTTAAAAATTACCTTTGTTTTTATTCCATTAATGCATTTAAACTGAATCTCTTCTAACCCATCACAGATTGAAATAACAGCTCCAGTGGGCACCTTAATGTCAACACCTTTAATCAATAAACTGGATTAATTGGCACAAAAAGATAGCAAGATAGCATGGTGGCTGAGGTTTTTTTTTTGGTTTTTTTTTGTTTTGGTTTTTTTTTTTTTTTTTTTTGGTTTTTTTTTTGAATGGAAAAAAAACCCAGAAAATCAAAATCTCAAAAATAAACATATTTACCTTTCTAAGCATAACCACCCTGAAGATAAAATACATGGATAGGGTAAATAAAACTTGAGTGGTTAATATTTGTAAGGATGGAACAGTCAGTAGGAAGAGTTCTAGACCATTTCCAGAACCTAAACCATCCCTAAAAGGTTATTTTCACCTTTTTTAGATTTTTCACATCTATTTTTATGTGTTTTCAGGTGTTACTTCCAAGAGAGGATCTAGAACTTTTAGGGAAAAATTATTTCTTTTCAGACTAGATTGAGTTTAATGACCAGACAAATCAGTAAAGATTATTTCACTTGGTTTTTCCTCATCTATCACCAAGGATAAGAGGATATAAGGAAGATGTATTTATATTTTTCTGGGGAAATAGAAAAATACCCTTGTGAGGCCAAGAGTTTAATAAGGAACATCCTCACCATTCACCAGTTAAGAAGACTTGAAGCAGAGTGAAAGAATTAATATTTTGATGCAAACCTGCCACAATCCAGGAGGTGAGGAATTTCCTGAGGAACAAATTGATCTGAAGGGCCACAGCCTGAGACAAAACCTTAGGTGCCACATTGCCCTTTTAAGTTTATTTACAAAGGATGCAGGATTGCTTCTCCCAGCTCCATTTTGGAGAGCAAACAGCCATAAATATCCTCTGGAAAGCACAGTCCTGCCTTTAAGAGTGTGATCCAAGCATGCCCATGGGATGAGGTCCCTCAGGGGGATGGCAGCCAGGAAAACCAAGCATGCCCCACCCTTGGGTGGGTGATAAGAGGAAAATTGCTCAGACAGAGGCAGCTCTGTACTTGCAGAGGAGCACAACTCAGCACTTTGGTCTGGGGAGTAATAGCAGAACACACCTTCTGTGGGGAGCACGTGAGGAAAAGGAAATTCCATTTTAGATGGCAAGCTGGAATAAAGTCACCTGGGTTTTTTTGACTTCAGTGTAAATACAACCTCTGTTTCTGGCTGGCTCTCTCTTTATGGACACACAAACTGCAATTTCCTTCAAGTCAGGCTACAAGTTGCTCTCCAAACAATCACTGAAGAGTTTTTAGGCAAGAAAACCGAAGGAGGTTTTTTGCAGGGGGGGGCTGCTAAGAGGAATCTGTACCTAAGTGAATAATTTTACACCTAGGGAAAGAGGTGCTGGACTGAGATGCTGCCACACAGAGTAGGAGTTGTTCTATCCATTTCAAAGTCCTCCTCATCAGATTCCACCCAAAGCATCTTATCCAACTGCATCCTTAAATCTGGGACCTGAGGGAAGAACAAAAAGATACAAAAGAGCTTTTGCTCTACCTGGATAAGGGAAATGACTTCCAGCAGCATCTCAGCACGAACTCCAGCAACCAGGAGGATTCTCCAAAGCATCTCCCTAATTTCCTTGTCTCTTCCAGGTATTTCAGATGGCAAATATTGTCTTCCAGGGAATATTAAAGTTCTCACCTGACCCCTTGGAATTTGTAAACCATGTTAGAATTTAACCAAGGTAAACCAGCTCCACTGTGAATAACCTTTTTAAAAAGATAAAGAAATTATTACTGACACAGAGCAGCCTGTTGGGACAGAGACAGAAATGTTTTAATTAAAACCAGATTGAAAAAAGAATCAATAATAATGGCATTAAAATAAGCAGAATTCTAATTAAACACTACAAATGATCAGCTTAATTTATGAGACTGACACCACAAAGAACCCTTTTGATTCAGCCTTGTATTGATTTCAGTGGGACACTGAATCAGCACAGCTTTCAAGTCTCACTGGTAAAAAAATTGAGGAAGCCTTAATATTTGTATTACCTTCAGCAGGACAGCAATTTTAAAATGTCTTTATGTAGTACATAAATCTCTGCATTCATCTTAAGACAGTATTATCCCTTAAATAATTAAAAAATGTTTCTGCTTTAGCAAATAATGATGGATATCACCATTATAACCACCCCTGGATTTGGAAACCCTTCAATGCTACAGGGACCAGTTAGTAGGGATTTCCAAACTACATTTTAAACACTTTTTAACAACTACGTTTTTAAACAGGACCTTTTTCAAAGACATCTGTCAGCCATTATTATGATATAACCAGAACAGTGTTATTGGTACCTGCACCTACACATAAAAATATAAATAAAAAGAAGAAATTGAGATGTTCTGAGAAAAAAAAAAAAAAAAACAAAAAACCAAAGGCAAAAATAAAAACTCCAAATTCCTTCTGCTTTGTTTGTTGGGCTTAATCTTGTTACCCATAAGAGGGGTGTTGGTGTCTGCAAATTGCAACACAAGTGAGCTGCTTTGAAATCTCCCACATCTTTCTCCTGTGGGTGATTAATGCGCTGAATGTTCTGGGTGTGAAGGCAGAGGAGAGGAACCATGTGGTCTTTGCTTTTATGGGCAAATTATCTCTTTATTTGCCACTACAGGTTCTTGCCATGAAAACCTTTCTGGTGTTGGGTCAGTGAGGTGGGTACAGTACTACATGGGTTCTGACAGTCCCATAATGGAATATATTTGCTCTAAGTGGCATTAGGAAATGTCATTGAATCATAATTGCTTTTCAAAATTAGCAAGATAAATCAGAGCTCCTTCTAAAAGAGGCTTTGACTTCAATCTAAAAATCATGACCAAGAACTTTATTCATAATTCTCTCGTAAGACTAATTGTACTAAACCACCAAGCAGTAAACCTTTAGATAAAATGTTATATATATATATATATATATATATATATATATGGAGTACCCTAAATACCCTTGAAATCTCGACCTACTCCTCAGTGCTTTGTCTTCTCAGCCTGATTCAAAGCTGGTCTGCACCAGAAATCCAATCTGACAGCACAGTCAGCACTCAGTTAAAACGCAGACATGTATTTTTGCCTACAGATAGCACATGCCATACACACTGTGTTCACACTGCAGGTGTCAGGAGCCCCCAGCTGATCTGCCTGCCCAGGGCTTCTGTTCCTGCAATCCAGGAACAGAACCTGTTACAACCCTTAATAGTCACAGCAAGGTGACCAGAGCAATGGGGACATGCCCCAGAGCCTATCTTGTTCTTTGTACATTTATTTGATCTGCTCAAGAAAAATTTAAAATAAATTCCCCCTGGCCTAATGTCTCCTGACTTCCTGTGCTTTTCCTGCATTTTTTCACTGAGCCAAGAACACAAAGGAGACCTTAATACTGAAAGAGGCTTGTGAGGAAGATGGAGAGTTTTTATCAGGACTTGTAGGGACAGGATGAGGGACAACAGTTTCGAACTGACAGAGGGTGGGTGTAGATTCGATATTAGGAAGAAATTCTTTATTGTGAGACACTGGAGCAGGTTTCCCAGGGAAGCTGTGGATGTCCCATCCATGGAACTGTTCAAGGCCAGGCTGGACAGAGCTTGGAGCAACCTAGCCTGGTGGAAGGTGGCCCTGCCCATTGCAGGGGGTGGAGCAAGATGATCTTTAAGGTCCCTTCCAATCCAAACCATTCCAGGATTCTATGACTCGGAGAAGAATTTCCTTTCAAACCTCTTCCATACGCAAGGAGCTGGCACTTCCAATAAAGTGAAACTGGTCAAGCTGATTCAAGAGCTACTTTTCCCCAAGTTTAAAAGGCCATCTCTAAATTCTGAGATTGAGGGCAGGAAAAAAACAGAGGTTCATGGTTGGGAACAAGGTAAAAATGTATCTTGAAGGCACTTTCCCATTTCACTCTTACTGAAATTAACTTTGCCCAGCTCCTGAGTTCCCATGCCTGAGACATGCACAGGGATGGTGTGTCCTGGCTCTTGGCAGCAGTTGTGTGGTGAAGGGATTCCTTTGGAGAGTTGCCAGTTTCTATCCATGCAGATATGCTTCCAGCCAGTGCTCCCCAGAATCCTTCAGGGAACTGCAGGAGCAGAAGGGAAAAAATCACTTAGGAGGAGACAGAGTTCAGCTTTGTGGGAGGCCAACTGTGGTTACAGAAATAAAAGGGGAAAAAATGGATTTTAACTTGTATGGACACCTCATAGCAAAGTCTGAGTGCTGCCATTGAGCTGGGAGGACTTAAAGAGGAGAAAAACAAGCTTTGAAAGTAGAAACTTTAGAAAACTCTAAATAAACTCTAGGTTTGATCTCTCTGTGGACATTGATTTGAAATGGCTGCCTGGGTGTCTCTTACCTGCCACCATGGCATCTTGTTAATCATCTTGTTAATTGATACTTACTGCAAAATATCTGCAAAGGCTGTCAGCAAAGTCTTGGTTTTGTACTCGATGCCGTGCTTGTCACAGAGGCTTTTCACCAGGGGAGCCACTTTCCAGTAGTTGTGCCGAGGCATTGTGGGGAACAGGCTGCACAATGGAATGAGGGAGAGTTATTGCAGGGCTTGGCTTTCTCCCTGTTCAAAATATTCCCCTGCCTCAGATTATTCCCATTTTTTCCCCCAGGATGATACTCACTGGTGCTCGATTTGGAAGTTCAGGTGCCCAGTGAACCAGTCATTGAACAGAGACTGCTTCACGTTGCAGGTTGCGTGGAGCTGGGAGGGAAAAACCCAAAAAACTCTCAGATGACTTAGATTTTATTTACCTGCAAGTCCAACAGTTGAACTTGCAGCAATTGCTGCCCACCCTAATCCAGCAAAAAAAAATCAAGGCAAAGTCAGGGATTACAGCCATCATTTCCCTGAGGAATTCAACACAGTCTAGACTAGCCAGGCTATGTTTTTTATCCTTGATAAAACAGGAAACTGCTGCAAGCCCACTATGTGGGATTACACTGTTGGAGGCAGGATAGATGTGAGCAAAGCTCTATTTACATATTCTTTTTTATCAGGCAATTTTGTCAGATTTATCTGCAGTAAACTTGCAGCCTGTAGGGTAAAAATAAAGGTATCCCACTTTGCTTCCCTTTAGTTGGCCTAAAAAGGAAATTGGCTGTTATACCACCAGTACATTTCTATAATAGGGAGGGGAAAGGGTTATGAAAAATATGTCAAGGCCTTTCAAGGGAAAAAACTAGATTTTTTAAATCTAGATTTCCTGTTTTCCAACTAAATTTTTAAATGGTTTGAATATCACAGAAATGTTTATTGAATGAATGGAAGGGCAAACCTCATTAACAGTTAATCTCAGAGAATAACAACATTGCCTTTGTTCTATAATTTAGACCAGCAGACCCAGTATTCCAGAATAAAGGAGTTTCTCACCTGAGTAGACACCCAGTCTTTGTTCTTGTCATAATCAATGTCCATTGGGATGTGGTTCATCTGGGACACCCAAATAAACCAGCTACTCTCAAGGTACCTGGGCAGATAAACCCAGAAATTCTCGTCATATCTCTAATCCCATCTAAATTTAACACTAAAACACTTGGCTAAGTATCTTCTTAGGTGAAAAAGCACTTTTGGAGCTTAAGAACCACTCAAGTTTTAGACGCAGATGTCCCTGAGCAACCACCACCCCCCTCCAAAGTGAAACTGTTTCTTCTGGACTATTTAATTCTGAAAAAATTGTAGTTTTAGTTTTAATTTCTTTCTTTTGAAGCTCAATATTGATTACAAATCTTAATTTTGGGGGCTCTGTGTCTGCTCTGAGTTACCTGGACAGCCAGTAGTACACCATGAAGTTGTTAAATCCCATTAAAGGAACATACATGAGGCAGACTCGGATGTTGAAAGTCACTACCAATATCAGGTCCTGTTAAAAAAAAAAAAAAAAAAAAAAAAGAAAGAAAAGAAAAATAAAAAAACCCAAACAAATCAGGATGAAAATCAGCCTTTGTTGATGAAATGTCTCCACTCCATCCTCTCCCTTTCACTAGAACTGCAGCTTAAAAAATGCTCTTGATATGCAAATTTCTGATTTATCAGGAGTATGCTCCATGCTGCATAAGGTGGGTGTGTCCCTGAAATATTCCTACTTAACCATCAATAACTGCAGACAACAGCCCTGCCATCATACTCTGGGTCTGGGAATTTCCTGGTAACTTTTATTTATCTGCTAAAAGGCTAAAAAGCCTCTTCTAAACTATTTTCTCTGCTTCAGCAAGCCTAGAATCAGCCTTCTCTATCCTTTTTCTCTCTTACCCTTCAACCACCTGCCTAATAGGAGGTGAAGGTGGATACAGTGACATTTTTGGAGTTCTCCAGACAGGGAAGCAGTGCTTACCAACCACTTTTTCCTCTTGATTGCAAAGTAGATTGTTGACAGCTGGAAGAAGGGTACAAGGGCGAGTGGGGCCAGCACTGAAGGACAGAACAGAAAAAGAAAGACATTTGTCATTTCACTGCATCATTATAATGATTCTTCTTTCCAGTGGAAGAAAAATTGCTGTCTTCCACTCATATTAAGCTTCATGCACCCACATAATCTCTTTGTCTTTTCTTCTCATCACTTCTCCATTTCTTCCCCACCCCTGTATCTGTTTGATACACCCCCATCTACATCTCATGACCCAAACAGAGACTTAAGGGGCAATTCTTCCTCATAAGGACCTTCTTTAATGTGAAGGAAGCTTCCTGGAGCTCTCACTTCAATGGGAATATCTTTAAAAACCATTATTTTGTGGGGGAGGAGATGCACACATGGTTTTAGGGGATACTCACAGATGAAATACTTGTGCTGGTAATTGTAAGGCATGAACTTCTTCTTCTGCTTTCCAAGCTGAAAAATGAAAAGATAATGAAATATTCACAAAAAGCACAATTAAGTTTATTTCTTCACCTTGTAATTTTTCACCAATTGCACAAAAAAGTTTCTTAACATTACCCCAACCTTTTATAATGTAATTCTTCAAAAGACAAAATAATAAGGAACTAAAACAAACTGCTTCCAGAGCTCCAGTCTGCACTGGATCAACACTGAAGCAAGGAATAAACTGCATAAACAAAAGCCCTGAAATCCACTTTGCCTATCCATGGTGTGCCTAACTTTGATCCTGTTAAAAAGCAGGAAGACATGAGAACTGATTTTCTACATTTTCACTCCATCAAAGCCACTGGACCACAGCCAACCTGCTCTGGATGCTCATGCTCCTACATGAGAGATCTTTCCCAAAATCCCTGATAAAATCCTTCTCAACTGGAGCCAGTGGTTTTCTATCAATAAGCATTTTGTATCTCCCATTGCAGGAATCTGTCTGGAACAGCAGAGCTGGAATTTTCCATGTGTCTTGGAGAGTTTCTTTAGCAGGTAAAAGAGAGAGAGGCATTATTTTAAGAGGCTGGTGTATCTGGCAACAAGGCTGTTTTATCACCCCGTGAGTAAAAGGAATTACAAGGAAAAGGCAAACGAGCCTTTGCCTATCCTGATGCTGTCAGAAACCATAATGGAAGCAGGGAGGATCTATTCATAGTTTCTCTTTTTATGAAAGCCATAAAATTCAGGATTAGGAAATCATTTGCTGCATTTGCGCTCGGCATGCAGCAGCTCTGCTGGCCCTGAAGGATTTGGGGGCCCAACAGCTCTGGCAGCCAGGAGGATCCAGAGGGAACATCTGACTCACTAACCCTCTCTTATGCAAGTAGGCTGACTCACCCCTGGAACTGCCTTCAAGGTGCTTGCCCTTACTTAAGCACTGATTTTAAGCTTTTGCTTCTCAGGAGTGCCTCAGCATTGCAATAACAAGACACTCTCAGATCTTGGAACACTTTGGGAATTACCATAAAATCCTAGAACAGTCTGGGTTGGAAGGGGACCTTAAAAACCCGTTTGTTTCAAGGCACAAATTGGGTTGTCATTCTTATATATTAGATACATATCACACTCTGGCTTTCTGTCACTAAATGTGCTTTTGCAGACCTCCTTGGAGAGGGTCTTTCCCAGGCTGAAGAGCAGAGGGTGCATGTTGAGGTCGGGGTCCTTGTGGAAGCAGTTGGGCTTGGCGTGGTGCTGGTTGTGCAGGTGGTTCCACCAGCTGGCAGGCAATCCCTGCATGGGGAAAAGGGCAACACCAGAGATTCAAACTGGAGCAATATCAAGGATCCCATCTCTATTTACTGCAATTCCCTCACAGGAAACCTTGCCTGGATTTAGGGACACTCCCATCCATTGCTCAGTCCCAATCAGCCCCAGAGAACATTCCCACCACTACCTTCAGCATGTTTATCACCACGATCTGCAGGAGATGATTCCACCTGGGCTTCCTGAAGACAGAGCAGTGCCCCAGATCATGCTGGAACCAGCCCATCTGGATCTGGAAGACAAAAAGATCACTGAGGAAAGAGAACTGCTTTATTGCAATAATTTGCCTTATGAGTCTCTGTAACTTCATAGTGTGAGTTTCATCCTCCTTCTGATGTGTCAAGAGACACAGGGCTAGAACTTCCATCCAGGCCACTGTCCACTAGAGCTGCTCAATTCCAGATAATAATTTAATCTGGAATACAGGGAAAGCAACAAAGCATCACTGCAATTAACTTCACTATCACAGTATGGAATTCTGTTGATACCATCATGAATAATTAATTTCCAAGTAACCAGCCACAGCAAGTCTGTGGCTTCACTGCATTCCATATTTCCATGGAAATACAAGACTGCTCTTTGAGGGATATCTGCCTTAGCAGGTATTAGGCAATTAAAACAGATTAATTAAATAAATTAGCTCATTTGCACCTGCTCCAGGGGGATCTGAACAAATTTAAGCATTTCGTGCTAATAAGAAAATCTTAATTTTCCTCCCTCTGCCACACCCTTCAATTTCTCCCAACTAAGTGCCACAAATCCCTATTCCCTCCTTCCCTACACCCACACTGAAATGGATCCTTTGCTTATATGGCTGAATTTACTAATCCAGCAGAAAACTATTCAGGGCTAGAGGGGACTCATAAAGGACCCAAAAAATACCAGAGCCATCTGACAGAAGAAACAGAGAGCCAAAAGTGCAGGTGAGAACTAAATATTCCTTCTTTGTCCTGGGGTAAGTGATTAAATCAGCTCATCCCATCCTGTGAAAGAGCCAGTTCCACAAGAACCCCACCATCCCCAGGGAGCAGCCTGTCAGCAAAATGAGATCAGCTGCAGGCAACAAAAATTGTGACATAGAATGTCCTTGTCATCTTCAGCCAGATAATGGGATCTACGGAGAGGCAATGACTGGGATGGGAGCATTAACCCTCTCCACCTGGAAGAGCCAAGGGTGTCTGAGCACTGAGCACCCATCAGCAGTTTACCTGGGCGGTGGTGAAGAACACCATGCCAGCTAGGAAAGGCACCAGGGATATGCCAAAGTACCAGACCACGAGCCAGGATGCAGCATCCAGCACCAGGAGATGAAGGAAAATCAGGAAGAAGAAGTAGTAATTTGGCCTCAGAAGTCCCATCTTCTCAATGGTGCAGCGCAGCTCACGAAAATCCTCCAGTAGGGATTTCTGTGGGTAAAGAAATGGAATTTCTGTGGGTAAAGTGAATATTAATGCACTATTTGCTTTGAAAATGTCATAGCAAAGCCAGGAACCCCAAAACAGCCACAGAAATTGAAGGAGATGTTCTGTGAGTAGGGGCTCTGTGCCAAAACAAGCACGAAGTCAACAGACTTTGCTTTGATTCAGATTTGATTCTGAGACATCCCAGCGAGGAGAACAGAGGAGGATCTGGGGCTCTGGAGCTCATTCCTTACTGCCAGGTGTGGATTTAGTGATGCTGGGACAGTCATGTTTCCATGCCTGCCCATTGCCACCCACAGCATCAGGCGTGCTCCCTCAGAGGCGATTCCTCCAACCTCTCCTGTTTTTCCTTCTCCTTCCATGCTGAACCCCAAGCCATTCCCACCACTGGAATCTGGGGCACTCACCTTTTTATTAGACTCAAAGCTGGGTTGATCAGGTGCCAGCTCCCCAATCAGCAGAGATTTCAGGTACTTTTTCACCAGGGACTTGTCGTTGTGGAATGCCACAAAGGCATCCTGAGGAACACAAAGAGAGAGAGTGAGAGAGGGCACATGGCCAAACACCAGAGCTGAGCCTCTCATTGCCCAGGTCTGGATTATAACATAATATCCTGCTCCCTTTGTCCATTTTTGTCTCTCCTGTCACTCTTTCCCATTACTGGAGCTTGGCCCAAGGAAGCTGGAGGAGTTTCAAGCACCCAGATTTCATAAGTGCCCCTGGGTGAGGCTGGTAATAAACATGAAAGGGTTTGATGAAAAACCCTTTGCAGAGGGAAACCTGTTCCTTCATCTGCTTGCTTCAGCACACTCTGTCCCTAGAAGGCTCCAGCCAGCAGCCCTGCCCTATGGATGGGACCCAGGAGCAGGGAATGAGGTGTGTCTCTGCCATGCTTGGGATGAGGCTTTGGAATCCTGCCTGTGCAACACTAAGGCCATACAAACTAGATGCTGAAGCCTTATATTTAGCAGCACAAACTGGGTGTCTCTTACAGCTCCCTCCCAGTTTCCAGAACAGGTTGATGTTTCGGGAATGTGGGAGCACTAATGACACAAAAGTGTCTGTTCAAGAACCATTTCAAATCACAGTTTCATATCATATATAAACAATGGGAAAAGGATGAGATTCTAGATAAATCAAAACTCTTCTTTAGCTCACGTCCTCACTGGATTTTCCAGAAGAAAGGTAAAGAGGCTGACCATACCCTTTTTTCTTCCAGAAAGAGCAGATAGAACAAAATCCTCATTTTGAACAGTCTGGTTTTGCTGATTTTGGCTCTGAAAATCAGCAGGGATGAGCACAACCCAAATATTCTGCACAGGTCTGGTCAGGATCAAATCTCTGGAAGAGGACAGAGGACTTCCTTGGAGCCTCTTGGCTGGAGACAGTCTCTCTCTGAGTACTGTAGTCTAGAAAAAGTCAGAACAGGGTGACTTTTTGGACATTTGAGCTTTTCTACAGACATCTAGTGACCCTTTGTCACAGTGACAAATTAACAACTCTGTCCAGACCAAGAGGACTGGGGAAATCTTTCCATCACATCATGATTTTGTGCCCCTCATCCTCCAGGTCTTTATACATTTTATATCCCTCCATCTTGTCAGGAATTCTGATTTAATCCATAAGAATCTATACTGCAGTTTGGAAACAGGAACCAGAATCCTTTCAAGCAGAAACTCCTCTCCATGAGATCAGTATCACAGATTCTTATCACTGAAAGCCTCACAGTCCTGTCTGTTCTTCCTCCTCCCTGGTCTTAGGCCCTGATTAGCATCTTACTAACTTTAACGTCAGAGATGAAGAGCTATCACCTACAACACACATAACTCACAACATTTGACATCAATTAAATGCTCTGTAATGGTCTTGCCTTGTATTTTCAAAATAATTTCCACAGAGAAAGAAAGTTCTCACGATGTATAGACTATTATGAGCTCTAGAGCAGTCAAGAGTTGTTGGAAAAAAAATCCTGGATCCTGGTTTTAGGTAAAGTCCTGCACCAGTAATTTTTTGAGACACCTTCCAGTCCTGCTTTTCTATGTGGATTTCTTAGAGTATATGAACAAGCAGCACTTTAAAAGCAACAAGAGTGATTAGGATTAGCAAGAACAAGACACAAAGTGTTGTTAGGATGCAACACAAATCCCCACTGAACCCACGATTTTGGCTACTGGTTGTGGTCCCGTCTTCAAAGGGATATAGTTCACCTAGAGGTTTGAAAATACCTTCATGATTAAATAAAATCAGATTGTAATTATTGCTACAATAAAAGCAAGTAAGATCAAAGGTAATTTTTTAAACACATTCACTGCAGTTAAAGCCCCTGGGTGTCTATAAGTACAATGATGTAAGTTGCAGGTCCTTGCAGGAGATGGGAGGACATAGCTTGGGGACAAATCGTTCCATGCATTCTGCATTCCTTGGCTCCTTCTGTAAAAGTCCAGTGGCAGAAAGTGCGGGAGATAGCACTAGGATCTCTGGGCTGGTCTATACTCTGAATGTCAGCGAGCTTGGGAGAAACCAAACAAGACTGAAACCTCTCCTTTTGCTTCCTCTGGGATCACCAGGTATTTTTCTGCCCCAGGGTGCAAGGGATGAAATGTGAAAAGTAACTGATCTGGTCCATTTTGGGCTGGGAGTTAGAAGTGCTATCCCATTCTGCACACTGAAACATGAGGAATTAAGACAGGCTAAGCAACCTTCTTCAAGTCAGAAAATCTTGTCGTGACAAGAATTAAATCTCCCACATCACAAGTTTATGCTCATGTTTCCAATTCTCAGATTTCTGCCTATTCAGAAATTCAGCGTCTCCTTTCAGCATAGTCTAGGAGATTTGCTTAGAATTTATTATTCCTGCCAAAAAGCACCAAATGATTTTAGATATATCCTCTAGATCAAAGATTTTTGCAGGAATCCCTGGAAGATCTGTGATCAAATATATTTGTAGGACTTTTCCTTATGTCCTGCAGCCCAAGGTCATCATGCTGCTTTCTCAGTCCGCTCTCTGACCAAGCACAGTGATGACCCCCACCAGACAGGATTCCCCACCATGTCCTCCTTCCCTGCCACTGGAACCACCTTCCTCCGCCGCTTTCCCAGCTCTTACCGTGGCATCCTGCCCAGCATAGTGGCTGATAACCCGGCTGCCTCCGGGATGGCTCTTGGAAAACTGGCTGACATCATAAACCTTCCTGTCAACCACCAGCCACTGCTCCCGGCCTTGCCCGCGGCCATTGTGGATCCTGATCTCTTCCCAAGTGAAAAGTTGTGGAAAGGCTGGAACAGGTCCCGTCCCCTTCTCGCTGGGGCCAGTCTGTGGAGCCATCCGTGCTGGGACTCTCCAGTGCCAGCTCCGTGTCCAGGCTGAGGTGGCCCATCCTGGCCTGCCCGTTATACAGCCCCATTCCAAGCCACTCCCTGCGCTTCCAAGGGCTGGTCGCTTCCAAGGGCTGGTTGGCTCTCCTCGCCCAAACACACCCATCCCGAGTTCCCTCCTCTTCCAGACGCTTGGACACACCCGTGAGGAAAAGCCCTGCTCCTTTTTGTCCTTTCTGAGCTGCCTTTGCAAGGTCTGACTGCTTCACTGAACACAAACAGGAATAAAGACAGAAATTTGGGAAGACCACCTGTTAGCTCTAAATGGCCTCATCACCACACAAACCCTTCAGGTTGTTCTTGGTCTTTGAAATTTTCTTGACTCTGGCATTCTGAATTAATGTGCCTTTCTCAATTAAATAATTGATTAAAATACCAACAGATCAGAGTAAAGAAAGAACACATTAAGAAAGCATTCTTTACTTCCAGTTAATTTGGCTTCTGTATTGATAATACTTCTCATACAGCTGGTTTCAGAATTTCCTGTATGCTCCTGAGGCCATGGAATCACCTAATTGTTCAAGTAATTCATTAATGAGTCTATAACATTAAAATATTTTGTAGTAATAGCAGTATTAATAATAGTGATAAAAATAACAACAACAACAGTAATAATAACAACAATAATAGCAGTAACTGTTAACACCAACTTTGGCTATAAATTCAGAAACCTATGCTTAAAGGCAATGTTGACATAATTAACTTTACTTAAACACTACTCCTGCAGAAACCAAGTCTATGCATCTCTGATATAGTGAAGGTCTCCTGCGCAATAAAGAGGTAAAGAATTCTCAGCTGTAATAAAATGAAGTGACAAGGCAATGCCAAGTTTCCTATGAATTCACATCAATTTTGCAGAAAAATTTAAGCAATGTAAATCAAGTATTGCCCTACTTGAGATCTAGCAGTGTCTTAATCCTGGTTGGGGTTTTTTAAATGCAAAATTCCAACCCTTGGGTGTTTTTGAGGAAGGTACAAGCAGCAGGCAGACATGGTACAGTCTGGGGTGGTACAGATAGGGTATTTCCATCATACCCTTTTGTAATGCAATACGGAGTTAAATCCTGAATTTCCCCCCTTGCCCCAAATGTTCTATTTATGTTTCTGAATTTCTTAGGTCTGTAACTCCAGATGTGGCCTGCAGCGATGCCCAGTCCCTGCCTGAAGCTGGGCAGCTGCAGGTCTCAACTTGTGACAATGAACTACCCAGACAATTCACACTCTGGGATTCCAAGAAAACTGTGGAGTTCCCAGTGTGAACTCCCAGTTCTGAGAAGGACTGAAAACACTCAGATTAACTTCTGCAGACTTCAGGCAGGACAGAAAGATAAAGGTAGATAAAAAAGCGAAACTACTTTCTTGACCAAGGCACCTCAGCAGAGTGAGGCGTTTTCCCTGTCTTTCAAGCACAGAGTGGGCAGTTTTCTGGCTGACATGGAACTCCAAATGATGCAATTCTAATTCTACAAATCATGTAGCATCTTGCAAATTATTCAGTCAAGCCCCAAACTGCCATTTAAAAGTGCCTGACATGTGGCAATTGGTGAACCACCCAAAGTGAAAGAGAAATGTGACTGCTGCTATTCATCAGAAGATAGTGATAAAAGAATGGGAGGAATAATTCCTACCCTGTTGTCACATTGTATTTTGTAACTCTTTATCTTGCTCTAAATAAAAGCTGAGAGTGTCCACGCTAATGATGTGCTCATGATCTATGTATATGTGCAGAGACTTACCTAAATCAATGTTCAGTACTTGAGGTGGTGGCAATAAAATATGCAACAGTTTGCGCAATGTCCTGCAGATGTGGGGGTTTGTGCATATGTGAAAATATCAAGTTACTCCATAGCTAGCTGAAAGTACAAAAAACTCTTCCCGTGGCTCTATATTCAGACTTGTACATGTAGCAGCTACTTGAAAAGGAGGAGATAAAAATGTGGGGTTTGGTTTCAGTTTACAAGGAGATGCAGGATAAAGAGCCAGGAATGTACTGGAGTGAACAAATATGGGATGTCTTTGTCTATACCCACAGTCAGTAGCTGTGACTTTCACTGTTAACACTGTGGGTGCCAGCATCCACCAAACTGGTGGAATTAAGTTTGGGAACTCTAAGATAATTGTCCTCTGTATTAGCAGTGTGTATAAATATTTATTGTCCGAATTTATTTAGTGTCAGATCCTATCCAGACGGGCCTGCAACGCCCACTGATATTCTGTTCAATTAAATGCCCTTCCCAATGTGAAAGCAGAAGCTGCCTCTGTCTATATTATCCAGTTACGAAACTGATTCCAAAAGCCCAGACAGTGAAAGGCACGGTCCTGCTCACCCAGAGAAACTATTGAGAAACCTGTTACAGTGAATTTACACCACACTCGGTGTTCTGCAACCACTGCCCACACACCTGCCAAGAAGCATGTCCTACGTTCCCGGGAGCTGGTCCACGTGCACAGGGCTGCTCCACAGCCCTGCTCCCATGACTCAGAGCCTCCTTGCACAGGCTCTTGACACAGTTTCCCAGATTTCCAGAAGAACACTGCTTGACTGCTCAGCAGGCAGGTGCTGCCTCAGCCCTTTTATCGTCGGTCACATAAATGTTTGCAGCTTACACTTAATCCCCTGGAGATAAGTGGTCCAGAAATAAATCTGGCACTGAGATACCCCAGAACATTTGGAAGTGGTTGATGATCTTAGAGGTTTTTCCAGCATTAATGATCCTGTGATCTTGTTTCTAAGAAAATCTTCTTTTCCAGAGAGGATCTTTAGGTTCTGAGTAATATTGTCTTACTTTTTTACAGGGTTTCCATGGAGCCTGGCAAGTGGGAACACCTCCCAAGTGGGGCTCCTGGGCAAAACTGGGTGGAGAATCTCTACTTTTTGCCGTGTAGAGCCTCGCCAGAGTTGTTAGACAGAACACAGACAGTTGCGGGTTGAACAGGTCTCCAGAATTAGGTATCAACAGTGGAGAAAGCTGGAAAAGTGTGACCTTGGATGAGCATCCAAGTACACCTGCACTTCCCTCTGGAAGCAGAGCTGAGTCTCACTGCCCTGTCCTAGCTGCTCTGGAGCCATGGAACAGCATCTTTGATCAAAGCAGAGATTATCTCAAATGTCTCTGCATCAGGAGGCAGGTACCACCTAATTTATATAACATAACTTTGCTTCGAAGAGTTTGTCCTCAAGGGACTCTGGAATGGAGCTCACAGGATACTGAACCCTTTGTGGAGGGTTCAGGACTGCTCTGCCTTACAGTGACTCCAAGGAAATTACCTGCATCCATCCACAGTTAGCACACACAGTCCTGTGCACAGAGGCTGGTTTTCTTCCTGGATTTCATGGACTCTCCTTCAAGACTCCCTATTCTGTGGCTATGATGTGCCTCTTCCCAAACACAGCCAGGAAACAGAAATAATGAAAATTATTTTATCTCCAGCACAAAATTTAATGGGGAATCCATAATTCAGGAAAAGGCTGCATTCAGAAAGATCTTTGCAATCTTTTCAAGTGATAAAAAATTTTTGCAGTTGGCAAAATTTTGTTTTGGAAAGGAAAAAAATAATCTAGTAATTTACTGCTTTTGATAAAAAACATTATAAGACACCATGTCAGTCAGAAGGAGAACAGGACCAGGTTTTCCCTTTTTTTGTATATTCTGGGTTGATGAAATACCACCCTGGATCACAGACGGAGCTACTTACCAGGAATACCATGTCCCATGAAATGGAAAGAGAAACCTAAAGCAAAACCAAGGGGGTTTTTTTATAGACAAGAGTCAAGTTTGTAATGGAGACCCTGCTTTGAGGGGTTTCATTTGCTCGGATATTTAAAATTTTTATTAATTTTGTTTCATTCCTTAGGCCAGATATCAATAATAAATGAACACAAGTTTTTTTTTTCTCTGTGAAAATCATCTTCACACCCTTTGCAAAAGAGGAAAAAAACCACTTGTGAAAGCCACGCTTTCTCTCCCAGCTTTTGATTGCACTTTATGAGTAAACAATAAAACCCCAAGATGTTAATTAGAATGAGAGCTAAAATTAGGCTCTGTAATAAGCCCTGTGAACCTTCTCATCTAAATCTCCCAAGAGAATAATAAATGACATTAAAACACATATTATATACATTTTTTTTCAATTCCTATGAAATAAACCCTTTGCATCCTTCAGCTTCATGAAAGTCAGAATCCCAGGGTCTCTTCTGTGGCTTAAAGATCTAAATTAAGCTGCTCTAAAGTTATAAATTCTGCAGTTCTCTTCTCCCAAGTGCTCCGTATTGTTACAATGAATAAGACACAACATGATCCAAGTCAAAATTGTTAAATGCCTGTAACAAACCCATTTTGTTTTCTCACTGTTGCATATTTGGGGTTGGTTTTTTTTTCCAGACCAGGCAGCATTTTTGTTGTGTTTTCTGTGCCCAGTGCAGGGCACCCGCTGCTTACAAACTTCTGAATGATCTGGCTGCCTGAAATTTGGCATCCACAGAAGAGAAACTCCACAAAAGTTGCCCATGCTTGAAAGTTTGTTTTAATATGTGGTTTGTGCAACCATAATTAGGAACAAAGTGGCCTAAACCAGGATTAAAACACCCACGCTGGTTCCATGGCCTTCACTTAGAGCACCTTCCTCTGTCTGGCCTTCCTGTGGGCCTCGGGCCACCTTCCAACCTCTGCAATAAACGTGGCACAGCCAATATTTGGCCATAATTCCTTCCCTGGCCTTCACCATCTGCCTCTGCCCTTCCTCAGCCACATATTTTGGGGTATATTCTTCGGGCAATGTAAATATTTTGCCTCAGAGATGTCTCTCATCCTTAAACCTCTACATCCTACCCTGCCTGTCAAGGGGACCACTCATAGTTTGCGTATTTTGCTACTAATTTTGCAAAATTCAATTTTCCTTTGACACTTTAGCAATTACTAAATTGTTGAAGTTGCTACAAGTAGCAACTCCTACTTGTAGTTCCATGACCTTTTCACCATTCTTTCTATTCCCAATCTGCCCCACAGGTTGTCCGTCATCCTTCAAAAATGCTCTCATGAGTTTGTTTCTCCCCTCATTGCTAGGGACCTAAGTCCCATAATTTTATACTTATTCCTTTATTTTGGCAACTTTGGAATATTTCCTGAAGATAGAAATACCTGTGGCTTTCTAGTCTCACATGTTTCTGATCTTCCTCTCGGATGAGGGGAGAAGAGAAAACAAAACAAAGAAAATGTCAAAACCTGAGCTCATTGCAGATCTCCACTCACCTTTTATTTTACTTGGGCAACACCCAGCATTTCTTACCTCACCTTGTTTCTTTTTCCTAACCGGCTGGGAGATGATCTTGGAAAGGAATTCAGGCTCACTTGTTGGAACATTGGCACCCCTTCTTGCCAGAAGTTATCATTCTGTCTTGGTCTGCAGCTAAATGATGGGTTAGTGCTCATCTGAAAAGGTCTGTTATGCAGGAGGTGGCCTAATTAGGATAATACTGCCCACAGGCCTGCCCTGATCTCTTCCTGAATCAAAGCAAACATTATACAAGGAATTATCATCTATAAAATTGAGATATTATTGAATTTTTATATTACCCTTAGAGGACAATCTAGCACTGCTTCAGCTAATTGGGCTAATTAGCCTTGGTACTAAGATTTGCACTTACACTGTATCTTGAACTGGTATTGATCAACAATTCAGCTGCTGCATATGTATTACTGACAGACTGACGTATTCTCTGCTCTAAAATTTCTCATTTTCTGATCAAGTCACTGCTTCTTCTTTCATTTGGCTCAGGGAACACTGACAATTTTATTCTCTTACAAAAAAAAAAAAAAAAAAAAAAAAAAACACCAGACTGATAAGAACTAAATGATGAGCTGCAAAAATCAAAAAGCCAGGCAGGTTCTTGGGAGCAAAGCCAAGGGAGATTACTATGGATTAATCAGACCTTTGGAAATTTTGCCTAAGGGGCACAATCATAACCAGCATTTCATATAAGCTGTCATGGGTGTATAATTTCTTGCTGCTGTTTCAAAACTATTCTTGGTGGAAATTCCTCCCCATTTTCTGAACGTTTAATACCAGTCCCTGCAGGAGATGCAAATCCCAGAGAAATCTCTTCCAGTGTAATCCTCTTCCTTTCCCACCCATGAGCAGTGTTGCATTACTGCATTTGTCCTCTACACCTGACCTGTTAGGAAATCTCTTTATATTCCTTCTAAAAGACCCTTGGAAAGCAGCAAATTTTCCCATTTATGAGCAACTCAGCTGCATTCATCATCTGTCCTGTGGGATCTACAATCAGCTTGACTTCCCCTGCTTTTCTAAAGATGGGGAAAACTCCATAAAGAGCACCATTCCCCTCTTCAGGAATTTGGGGTAATGGATGCAAAAGCATCCACAAGTTGGGCAAGGACTGCAAATCTGCACCATTAACAAGTCCAGATGAGTGGGTGTTGGCAAGTGGAGAACTACAGCATTTTCTTCTTTCAGTTGCCCCATCACCCTTAACTGTATGAACATCACGCTGATAATTTTATAATTCCAGTTGCTCCATTGCTGAAGATGTTCCTCCCTGATTTGGAAAAAGTGATTTATTCCAAGTTGGAGCCACCTCTTTGTCCAATGATATACCACTTAACTGGATAATCTTCAAAGCCTTATTGTTCCTCACATCTTCAGGAACAATATCCTCTTCTCCCTACCATGAGCAGGGACACTTTCCACTATCTCAGGTTGCTCCAAGCCCAGTCCAACCCTGCCTTGAACACTTCCAGGGATCCAGGGACAGCCACAGCTTCCCTGGGCAACCTGTGCCAGGGCCTCACCAGCCTCACAGGGAAGAATTTCTTCCCAATATCCCATTTAAACCTCACTTCTTTCAGTTTGAAGCCATTCCCCCTTGTCCTGTCATCCAATGCCAGGTCTGTCTCATGACCTGATCCTTCCCTTCTGATCCTCTGGGATGTCCTCCCCTTCTAATGTCTGACTGCCACCCTGTGGCTATTCCACAACGTTCAGGTTCCATTTTTAAAGCCAAAGGGTTTCCACTAGATGGCAAAGTTGGGGCTGGTGTTCTTCCAAGGTCGTGTAATTCAGTGTATTTCTCAAGCCTGGAAAACTTCCAGGAAACTCAGCACATTCATATTTGGGTATGCTGAGTCAGGTCCCCTTTCAGTGTTACCCTCCAGGGCTGTGAATCTGCTCATCTGTGTTATTTTTCCTGGTTATCCAGGCATTTGGTCTGTTGTATGGTGGATGTTCCCTCCTTACTGTGGCAGAGAAAACACAGGAGAAGCACGTTCTGGAGAAAGAGGTTTATGACAGTTCTCTCCCTGTAACTGTGGACAGCCATTTGTTCCACCTTTTACAGAGTAAAGACTCTTGCACAGATGTATTTTACTCTGATGACAGCACAAATTGGTAAGATAAGGAATTTTATTAATAGACTTTCCTCCATCCACAGTTGTAATATGAGGGAAAGAAATGGAGCAGGAAAAAACCAAGGTAAAACAATAACTAAGGCCCACTTCCTTTATGGTCTTAATCAACAGGTATTTGATTGTATGATGTATTGTTATTATATAACAATATATTATATTATAACAATAACAATATTATATATATTATATATGTATTACTGTATTATTATTCCCATTGCAACTTTATCCTGTGCTTAACAACACTCTTGGCCTGAGAAGATCTATTTCTTCCATTCTATCAAACCTCATCCTCATTTTCGATGTTGATTGGGAAAAAAATTCCTCAAAATCAACCCATCCCACCTGGATTCTAATCCACCAGTCCCTGGAGGACCAGGGTGATGGAGCATCTTCCTCAGTGATGTGGCAGGTGCTGCATCCTGGTTTGACATCTGAAACGTTGGGGCAGTAAATTAAAAGGCCCCAGGAAAGGCAGTAAGACTATTCAGTAAATCCCACAGGATTGGGGTGTGTTTGGAAGGCACATCATCCAAGAGAGGGAGACCAGCAATGTTTTGGCTGAGGTGTGCTTGTGGATATGCAGCTGAATGAAAAGTTAAACACTTTTAAACAGCAGTCTGACCCCCACCACCTTTCTAACTTCCTTCGATTTGTCTGCTGCTCAGGCAGGAATGCCTCACTCTCCATGGTCCAGGAGGCAGGAATTTTCTCCTTTTAACAAATCACCCAGAGGTCCAAAAAAGCCCAAAGCTTCAGGCAATCACAGAGTGATTACGATCACCTTTCACACAGAATCATTGTAGAACAGTTTGGGTTGGACGAGACCTTAAAGCTCAGCTCATTCCATCCCCTGCCATAGTTTATTGTATTCCACTAAACCAGGCTGCTCCAAGCCCTGTCCAGCCTAATCTGGAATGCTTTTGCTTCCTTAGTCACTCTTGCAGAGATCCTGGGTATGGATGGGACAGGTTTCTCTCTCTTCTGACTCAGTAATGGCTTCATACCACTCCAAACTCTGGCAGGGAGGAAACCCCTTGCAGATCCCCCACAGAATGTCACCAGTGGGCAAATAACCCAGAGGCTTCCAGAGATGTGGAGGGTAGCATTCCCACAGAATGCTTCCACTTTCCTCTCCCCCTACTTCAATTAGGGCTCTAACTAGATCATATTCCTAGAGAACTGCTGCCTGCACCTCTCCACCCCACCCACATATGTACAAACTGGTCAGAGAGCTCCCTATTACAAACAGGGATTTGAAAATACTGAACCTATCCAGTTCCCTAGAGCTTCCACATTTCCCTAATTCTCACATTGCTTGATTTCATGTTGTCTCAACTTTCTTACTACACTCACAATGAGAGCCATCCCAAAAAGCCTATGTTAGATAAGAAGCTTCCCTCCTATATACTCAGCAAATGAAGGATCAGCAGATGGAAAGGAATCTGTTCCCAGTCCCAAAGCTGCACCCAGCTTGGTGGGACACAACCTCCTCCATCCAGCTTCTCCCCAAAACTCAGCACCAGAGAGGAGGAATGAAAGAAGCACAAGAAAAAATTAAGAGCACATATTACAAAACAAAAACAAAACAAAACAACAAAAAAAATGGAAAAATCATATTAATTACATTCATCCGTGGAATTAAGCAGCACCACCTCCCCGAATCCCCGAATCTGGCTTAGTCAGCTCTCCTCAGTGCAAGATCTTCAGGGTGACCACCACAGGAGGCAGCAAAGCTGGGGAACTCCTCTGCAGGGATCCACTGCTGCTTACTTATGTAGATAAGCATCGAGCCAGAGCTCCCCTGAATCTTTCAAAGAGCTGCCAAGAGAGAAATAAGGGAATGAACCCCATGTTCCATCCAGCAGCTCATGGGGAGAATTCTACAGACGAAGCAAAGGAGAACATGAAGTGATTTGGGTCGGAAGGGACCTTTAGAGGCTGCCCCCCCGTCCATGTCCCTCCCCTTTTCACTCCACAGCACTGACAACCCTTGACGTGGGAACAATACTCACTGCACGATGTCTGCGAAGGCTGTGAGCAGAGGCTTGCACTGGTACTCAATGCCATGCTTGGCACACAGGGACTTCACCAGAGGGGCCACCTTCCAGTAGTTGTGCCGTGGCATTGTAGGGAAAAGGCTGTGGGAAAGGAGGTGCTGATTCAATGGCATCCCTGACCAATACATGGAATCCTAGCCCCACTGTTCTGCCTAATTCTGAAAGTGCCCCAAGCTCCCCTTGTGCCAAAGCCATGGGTGCGCTGCAATGGTCCCTCTCCTGTCCCTTCAGTGCCTGTGCTGGGAACTCTCCCCTCTGTGCCATGCAGCTCAGATCTGAAGTGGTGCCGGTGTTCACTGGTGCTCCAGAAATTTTCTTTTCGGAATTCCCACCCCCACACAAAGAGCACAAAATTAACCCACGTTATCTTTTTTTCCTGAATCAGCTGATAGAGGGACCTCTTCAGCCCTGGTGTATCTAGCACTCCTTGGAACTATTCCCAGCCCCTGTTTCCACTCACTGGTGCTCGATCTGGAAGTTCAAGTGCCCACTGAACCAGTCATTGAACAAGGACTGATGAACATTGCAGGTTGCCTGGAGCTGAAAAAAAAAAAAAGAAGTCCTGGTTTAATTATTATTTTAGCAATGCCCCATCTCAAATACAGGTTTCTCATCCTCACAGGAATTCTGGCTGGACACAACAGCTCCAGGAGTTATTTCCAGCCAATATGAGGTGGCCTGGCTGAGATAGATGGACTTCACACACCCAGAACTGTCACAGATCTCCATAAATAAGGTCTCACCTGAGTAGAGAACCAGTCCACATTCTTATCATAATCAATGTGCATGGGGATGTGATTCATTTGTGTGACCCAGACAAACCAGTTGCTTTCTATAAACCTGTGCAAAAACAAAAAACCATCACAAATCACACGCCCATGATGTGACAAGTCAGTACAAAACACTTGTGCGCACACCAGCTGCTTGTTGCCTGACAAAATAAACACCAGAAATCCAAACAGATCAGACTTACACACACCTTCCATCTCCTGCACCCTGACAAGAAACCACCCCTGTCCCACTGAAAGGATCAGAAGGGAGAAGAACAGGGAGAGATGAGAAAAATAACCAGGGGGCTGGAGAAAGCTGACACAAAGGATTGATACAAACCAGGCAGAGAAAATGTTGGAATTGTAAGTTGGATGATACCTGACTAACAGGTGGAGCCCTAGGGTACCCTTCACACCCAGGAAGGGCAAGTAGGTGAGGAAGAATCGGATATAGAAGGACAGCATCCAGGCCAGGTCCTGTAGTACAGGAGACAGGGAAAACTTCATTAGAAGGAAGAATTTCTGACTTCTGAATTTGCCATCACTCCCTTTAAAACCTCCCTTAATGTCTTCTACTGATCAATTTTTCCTCCCCAGCTTCATCACAAAGTAACCTGACACCAGCCATTCCCTGTGCTCAAGAATTATCCTGGTTCCATGAGCTCAGCAGAGGGCAAACAGGACACAGGTGCTCTAAAGCACCACGTTTTCCTCTGGATCTAAAGAGGAGCCAAGCAGTGAGAAAACCAAAACACAGAACACCAGAGAACATATTTTGTTACCCACAGGACCTTTCACAAAGAAAGGCTGTGGAAGATCTCTCTTTGGCAAACACCATTCCCAAATCTATACCCACATCCCTTGCTGCAGACACACATAATTCCCAGTAAATCTGGCACTGGAATTCATCCCTAAATCCAGGAGAAGCCACCCTGGCCCCCATGGAGCTGACTCACCACCCACTGCTTCCGCTGCACGGCAAAGTAGAAGATGTACCACTGGAAATAAAGGGGCACCAGTGCTGGGGGACCAACTGGAGGGACAAACAGAGTCAGGAATTATCCAACAGGATGGGATGAAATGGGAAAACAAGGGGTAGAGTGACTGCTGCCCATGGAACTGCAGAGGGGAAGGTTACTCACTGATGAAGAAGTACTTGTGCTGGTGGTTGTAAGGCATGAATTTCTTCTTTTGCACACCAAGCTGTTAAAATACACAAATTACTCAGGCCGTGAAGACACCTGTGCACACACTCCTAAACTTCCAGAAGATGTTCTATCCAACCAAACCAGCATCCACCATCCCCTGGAACCTCGGCTGGGATGAGTTTTCACCATGCTCTGGGTGCAGAAGGGGCTGGGCTGTGCTGCACACACACAGCAACCTGCACAGGAAGCTCTGCCGCTACAGAGGCCACAAGCTGCCTAAAAATGCTAAAATAGAAACCCACACAAATAGTTTGCTGACAAAGCAGAGCTTCAGAGTTAAAAAAACCCAAGCTACGGTAGTGTTATGA